AACACCGGGACATAAATAAAGCTAAAGATAGGGCAACGCGGCTTCGGCCCGGCCTTCTGGTCAGACGGGGGCTTTTTATAGAACGACTCTGATTTATAAAAGGCGAACGGGGACTATTTTTACCCGGTGGGCTTGTGTGGGCTGAGGGGGGGATAGTGATCTTGGAAACTTGTGATGCGTTTGTGAGCGTGACTGACCCCTTTGACTTGAGCGTGTTGGTGTGGTGGGCTTGGAGATAATGGATGAACCAGGACCTTGTGATGTCCTGGAGGAGGTCCAAGAGAGGGATCGCGTGGGCCTCTCCTTCATGTTAATGTTGATTGGGGGGCGGGGGGGTTGTCTGAGAATGATTCAGTCATCAAGGCTTTTTGTTTTATACTGTCATAAATCTCAAAAGACAAATCCACTGCTCTATGGGCTCTCTTTTCATAGACTGCACAGGAGCAGCAGCGCATCTTGATTTTCGCACCTGTGCAGGACCCGTTGAGCCTGTTTGGGAACTTGGTTCATCTCTCAGCCATGCTGGGCGGGCCGGCATTCGGAGGGTGGCTTTTTGTTGACGCGCCCAGCGCATCGGACATTTTGGCGGCAGAAATGTATGTAAACGTGAAAGCAGCTTGGGAGGGGGGGGGGGGGGGGGGGGGGGGGGGGGTCCGCAAAACAAAAACTTGGAAACACATGAGCAACAATTAACATCCATTTTTAGATTGAATAAAATTTTCACGCGCACACATCTGGAAGATTGGCAACACCAGTTACCAATAGACAGACAAAAAAAAAAATCTGTGGATACAATGTAAATAATAACAATAATAAAAAAACATGAATCTGGAATTTATGTTACTTCTCTTTAAGAAAAACCAACTCATATATCTTGTCTCATTTTCTTTTAATTTTCTACGCATCCTTTGAAAAAGATAAAACAGTTGTCTATTGTTCCTTCGAGGCTGGCATCACTTCCAGTCACACAATTTGATCAAATCGCCACTTTCAGCGCTGAAAATGTCAGGAGCAATAGATTAATGTAGATGAAAAATGTAATGTTCAAACCTTTCAGCTAGATGACACACTATGGGAGTACATCGACCAGGGATGGGCGGCGGTCTGCATTTTGACTGGACATTTGATTAATTTCAGAATTGTTTTTTTCTACAGCCCCCACCCCCCATTTTTTTCTGAAAATGGCAACAAAATATTCATTATGTATATATATTCTTCGTAGAATGGGGTAGGGGGGTCCTGGAAAATTTTGAAAATACTTAAAAGTCAAGTATCTGTCCAGGTACCAGTGGGGGGGGGCACTGGCAGACAGAATCTGAGCTGCGGGATTTCATTCATAAATATAACAACACCGTGCATCACAGCCTTCAAAGGAGAAATCAATTTATGAAAAAGATTATTATTATCTCCATCAAATTTTGGAAATCATCTCACTGGCCACGGCGCAGCAGTGGAGAGGGCAGGGCGGGGGTTAAGTGGGTTGGGAGTCACACATGGACACAAACATTCGGGGTGGAAAGCAGGGTTCAAGTGTCCACTTCAATGAACTATGATCTCCCGAGTCAACTTTACATCATGTAGGTCTGCTTGCAGCCCTTTATAAACATACTTTGCATGCCTCGACCAGCCGCACGACTCGAGCGTATCTGTTTCAAGTTCCATGATGTCAAGGAATACAAAGTTTGCCCGTCACACGCTGCATTTAAAGGGAATAAGATGGACCACTTCAAGTCAGGTTTTTAAAATCCACCCTGCTGCGCCCGCTTTACGGCAATCTGTAAAAATACCAACACAAGGTCAAAACCACCCCTGCGCACACTTTGACTGCACCTCGTGCTCGATTTGTGCTGGCCACAAAAATAGAGCTTTAAGTGTTTTACGAAAAATGGCTGGGCGGCATCAATCTTACATGGATGGGTGAATGGATCGATTGATTGATTGATTGATAGGCTTCAGAATTTTTCCAGTATCTTGCCACCTAAAGAGTCTCTGAGGTCCCTGTCCGCACATCGAGTGTAAAACTGCACCACCATTTTTTTTCTTTTGAAACTGCTTGGAAAATGTGAATTCCCTAGATAACAACTTTTACACTGTTTATTTTTTTTTGCAGTGCCTCCTGGTGCCAATTCCATGACAGAATCAACCGAGAATGTAAATACATCTGACCGTCAAGTCTCTTGACGGTGGATTCATGTATGAAATCTGGAAGCCAAATATCTTTGACAGTGATTTTAAACAGACATGTATGAAATGAATATGCCTTGATGCACTTCTGGGTGCGTTGCTATAGCGACGCCGGAACAAACATGCAAGCTTGGTCTTACTCACTACTCAGGGAGATTTCACGGTTCATTCATGGAAGTCAGTCGAGTTCCCAAAAGACAACGAGACCCACTACCAACATCATGTGCTTCACGGCAGCGTAACCGGACCTGCGTATATTCACACGTCAAGGATCAGGGTGCACTCGTCATACACTCTGAGAGCCCACAATTCAATCAGCGGCGTCTCATCAGTACTTGGAGCGACCAACTGGCCAATGGATCACCTGCAAGGTCACGTTTTGTGAAAGAAACAACCCGTAGATCAAAACGTTGACGGCGGATGAGTTGAGAGTCAAGTACGGAATCGCAGATCGTGACCTTGTCTCCATGAGTCTGGCGCTGTTTCTCGAAATAGACCACCAAGAGACGGACGGGCCCGACGAAACTTATCGATGCGATCTCTGTGATTCATTGTATATAATACGAAGCGGACCAAGGCCCTTGGCTGTCAACTTAACGGCCTTTTCTGTTTATACGCAGCCTGCTGTTAATGCGGCAAGTTGTTATCGCCGTACCTTTAACTTGACCCTGAACATGGCAGAGAACCAAGTCAGCATCCGCAGAGGAAGAGGGGTTGCACGGAAACCAAAGCTTTGCTTTCCTCAACATCCATCCAAACAAAATAGATCCTAAATAAAGGCATCGTAAACGAAAACAGAAACACTTGTCACCAGAAGGATTTTAATGGGTTGGATATTTTTATGAGGTGGTTTTTATTTCCTGACAAGGTGATGCAGATGGATCACGGGCTCAAAGACAAGTAGGGGAGATATGAAAGGGCCGGAGTTTGTGCTTTGTTGCTCTGTTGTTTGTGTCCACGGCAACTGCACAGTGACTGCTTCTCTGCGCTGCCAGATAGAGTCGCTGTCCTTGCCAATTCTGAGAAACCAAGGGGATTCAAAGGAACATTTCTTGAAATCTTTTGCTGAATATTCAATGATACGCTTGTGTTTACAGACACTACCCTCACTTTTGCTGTTTTAAACGCATGATAGTTGTATTACTCTTGAGGAAAAACAATTAATAAAAGACTGAAAAAATCCAGTACAGTATTTCACCATGTATACGATCTTTGTTATACAACGAGCCAGCAACTTGTCTTCTTCTTACGTTGCCCTTCATTGGAACTTTGAATGTTCTTGAATTCAACATACGTTACCAAATATGCTTGCAGGCCTCAATTCAGAAAACAGTGTGAGGTGAAAACGACACGCGATGACCCATTCGTCGTCAATTTTGGTCGCTAAATTGTCTTTGTCATTACAATTATTACATCGTTTTGACCTTAACTATTTGGTCAGAGGTTATAGATAGAAAAGATTGCCCCTACAAGCACAAAGACTGTGCTAAATATACACGTGACTGGTGCTATTTCTGAGGTCTGACAGTAATATCTTGTAACATAGCACATCGATTTGGCCGGCGATGATGAGCGCGGTCGGGTATTCTCAGCCTCAATGAAGCTTCCTGGTGCTATTTCGGTCGGCTTATTTGAGAATGTGTGTTACTTCACGCACGCCCGCTCTCATTCTTTATTGATTAGCATGCTAACAGATTTATTTTTATAGCCGTCAGCATTTAGGTGCTAAGGAAACCGATGCAAACAATAACGTTGATTTGTATAAATCACGCGATAAAAGGAAAAGTGATCATGGCAACGTCAAATGCCATCGAAGGTTTGGGGGGAAAATTTGCCATTTCAATGTTCTTCTGTCGATGGTGAAGACGGTATACATATTGCAGTTTGTGGGAAATAATCGCTTTATAATTCCAATAACCAAATTAATCTTTCCGAAAGTAGACTCACCGTATCCTTATAAAGAGGAGGAGGGCACCATCTACAGGATGGACTCAAGACTGCAGCAATAAACACAGGACGGGATGGTCAATGAAATACAGCATTTATTCGATCTTGCAGCTAAAATGCATATAAATGACTGATTTTCATAGCCTGTTATTATAGTGGTTCCTTCTTTGAAGTCGGAATCATCACTTGCACTCGATCATTTTTAAACAAAAGCCCAATTCCCATCCTGCAAACTCCCGTGACCCTATTCAGGATAAGCAGTGTTGAAAATGGATAGATGGATGCATTTTGTCTGTATCCCCTGGAACAATCTGGCTACTAATTACCTTGAATGCTGCCTTGGGGGCTTTCTCTGCTCTGCAGTTTTTGAGTTTAAACATTTGCTTGAATGTTCATTCATTCATTCATTCATTTTCCGAACCGCTTGATCCTCACTAGGGTCGCGGGGGGTGCTGGAGCCTATCCCAGCCGTCTTCGGGCAGTAGGCGGGGGACACCCTGAATCGGTTGCCAGCCAATCGCAGGGCACACAGAGACGAACAACCATCCACGCTCACATTCACACCTAGGGACAATTTAGAGCAGTCAATCAGCCTACCATGCATGTTTTTGGAATGTGGGAGGAAACCGGAGTACCCGGAGAAAACCCACGCAGGCCCGGGGAGAACATGCAAACTCCACACAGGGAGGCCGGAGCTGGATTCGAACCCGGTACCTCTGCACTGTGAAGTCGACGTGCTAACCACTGGACTACCGGGCGCCCTGCTTGAATGTTGTCCTCTAAAAAAAATAAACAATGTAGACACCAGGTGCAAGGTGCAAGTGTTGCAAACTTAATGGCAGATTTTGACACTCATTTTCACTCAGTTCTCAGTGTTTGATAGGGGGGGGGGTAACATTTTATTTCAACAAACATGACATATTACATAGGATTTCAGACCACTCATGAAATAAATTATGAGGTCCGTTGTTCTCATGTGCTTTAATATATTTATAAACTATTCAATTGCAGCCAACGGTAAGCATTTGCCCATCTATGTAAAGACTATTACCGTCGATAAAATTGCCACTGCTCAACATGCTAGAAGTCAGAATGACTGCAAGGCATGACATACATACATAACATGCTTTGCGGATGGAGTATGCAAATTGCCATGCAAATTCAAAGCAAAACCACTCATGCAAGGTATAATGAAAACATGCAGCAAGTCATTTTAGAGTGGTAAAGGATCCAAAACCACGCACACATGACATTATTGTAGATCCTGGTGAACGGTTGTAGGCCCAGAGACTAGACAGTCAGAGCCAAACAGAGCACTTGAGATAAACAGCACAAATCCAGATCCAGCTGCAGTTGGGATTGCAATGGAAATTATCTATGACCACAGAGACTGGATATGCAGCAGCGACACGCTGGATCAACAAAGCATCATTTGACACCAGGAAGGAGCCACTTTACCACCTAAAAAGAACCGGTAGCTTTCTGGACTTCCCTTTTGCTCGACAGTAGCTGTATGAATGGAGTCTAAATCCTACCTTTTGATTCTTCCGGTCAAGTACTTCAAGTAATTCTGTTGTGCAATAAGTCCCTAAAAGTCACGACAAGAAGTGTTTCTTTTGGCATTAAAGCTGACCAGTAGAACAACTCAAGCAATTGCTATGACAAGTTTCCCTGAGTTACAGGAAAAAAAAAAAATCTGCTCGTGTTATTGCATTCACTGTGTCATCTCCAAATGTTTGCTACGTCGCAAAGATTTGACGTTCCATTAATTGGATGAACGCACTTCCCGGTCTTTCAGAGGTTGAGGAGTCCTGTAGTTGTTTTCCATGTGCATCCTCTGGTCTTCCTCCTCTCCAGTGGCCAGAAGCATTCGGAATTTTCCAAGCTGCAATACAATTGAGATGGTTTGAGAAGCCTCTTTTACGATGAATCGAAGAGCATCGTTTCCCTCAACAAGAAGTTTCATTAAAATTTCTGCGCTGCTTAACAAGGCCACTCAAAGGCGAAAACAACAATGGAGTCATCTCAATTCTTGTCATACCTGTTTTTGGTTCTCGGCCAGAGTAACATTTATTCTCAGCGGGAATTGAATATTTTCTTAAATGTGGTAAGAGCAAGGCAGGGTTTTTTTAGGAGAGGGTAAACAAGACTGTTTAGCTGCAGCTCGAGTTCACTGCTGGTCATACGTAACACTCCTTTCTTGTTTTATATTGCATAATACATACAAATAGGAGCAGAGGCCCTGTGGCATACAAGACGGTGCCTCTGGTGCAGTGAAGGCATAAAATAATGCTTGCATGCCTCGTCAAAACCTTGCCACGAAGCGCTTGTACATTCATCAACATGATCATCTGGAAAGGATCAATGGACTGAGACCGGGAATCATAAATTGTGGGTTTCTGAGGTGACATCCTAGCTTGAGCTAAACTGTGCACACAAATTAACAGAACCTCTCTTTATACCACTTGCCTCCTCCCACAGGAATGAAGTGAGCAAAGATCAACAAAGAGGATGGTCGTCTTTACGAGGGACAGCTTGGAAGGTTAGTCACATAGTCAGCTTAAGGTATCAGCCGCCTGTGAACTTTGTGATTATTTTCAGTGCTAAAGGGGCCCAATGCTAACCTTATGTCAGAGCAATACGAGGAAGTATGTTTTGCTGTTCGAATATAGCACCTCGGCAAACCGTCAAGGTCTAAACTAGACCTGCAGGGAAAAGCCCTCGTAAATTCTCAAGTCTTAGCAGACCGATCCGGTGATGGCGAATTGTAGTTTGCGTAGGAACCAAATTGGACCAAAGCAGATTTCACAACAAACGTCAACAGTGGCTCCCATCTAAATGCTCAAATCTCTGAGGTCTTACAGGTAAATATGAGCATGTTTGTGTAGCTGTCATTTCAACGTAAAAGCCACCGTATGCACATTATTTCTGTTAAAAGGTAATTTTTAAGATTACACCTGTAGTTGCTGGAGCCTGCCCTAGCCATCTTCGAGCAGTCGGCGGGGTACACCCTGAACTGGTTGCCAGCCAATCGCAGGGCACACATAGAGAAACATTCATACTCACAGTCACACCTTGAGACAATTTGGAGTGTTGCATTAACCTGCTATGCATGTTTTTGGAATGTGGGAGGAAACCGGAGTACCCGGAGAAAAGCCACACAGGCACGGGGAGAACATGCAAACTCCAGAGCTCCAGTCACTACTTGCTGTCGATGTAAATCGATGGTGTGGTCGAAGGATCACAGACCTGCCTTTCTGAGACCGTGATCGGCTCCTTCAAGACGATCCAGATGACACTTTCATGTAGTGGGGGTGTGGTTAGTGATCCAAGGTAGGTCCAGTACTGGAGGGTGCTTGGTAGGAGGCACTTGGGGTTGAAACTTTTGAAATCCGTGGCACTCCCCTACGTGGCCAACACAAAACCGAGCAATGCATTTCTTTGACACTTTGGAAGTAGAATGAGCCAGAAACAAGCAAACTCACTTTAAACTTGACCATGTACAGTGTGTCTGTTATCCTGTGGAGCCATCTGTGTTCATCACCAGTCTTGCAACACAGGAACACAAAAAATATTTTCATCTGCAGTATTTCAAAAAGAATGTTTATATTCACACTTGGGCCCCAGGAAACGGGAGGAACTAAAGTGCCTCTCATTTGCATATTTTTCAGTGAAGCCAAGTGTATTAAAACTGACAATCAAGACTTCAGTAGCATCTTAAATTGTTTTATTTCAAACCCATGTTGGTGGCGTGAGAGGGCAAAAATCCCCCCAAAATATTTGCCATTGTACAAACCTGAATCCAATGAAGATAACTACAAAGACAAAATATTTAATGTTTAACCTGATGACTGTTGTTGCATTTTTGGCAAACAGTCTCTCATTTTGAATTGGACGCCTGTAACGGGGTCCAAAAAAAAAACATTCCACAGGTGAAAGGTCAATTGGTAAACAGGTGAGTATCTTCATTGGAATACCATATGGTCAATTCCACAAGCAATCGCAATTTTTTATTTATTTATTTTTTTTATGTGAATCTTACTTACTTACTTCTCCTAAAACTTACTTCTAAAAAGATAGCAAGGACAGTAAGTCCATCGGGGGCTGCTGCTGCCTCCCCAAATGTCTGGTACTTGACTGCATTCCAGTGAACCAAATGAAGCTGGAAGGGGTACATCGACAGAATGGGACATGATTAAGATTTTAGATTGCCATCATCTTGAAAAATGCAAATCAGAGTGAAAAAGACAGCTCTTCAATCGGATTATGATGACCATTAAAGGATTGGTTAGACATTCCTATACATGTGTAATTGTTTGTGACCTACGAAGGATCCTCTCATCCGTACCTTGACATCATTGCATCATGTAATGATGCAATGATGCACGTTCTGAAAAACTGACCTCCGAAGCGTAGCTGCGGCCTGCAACAGTGTGCTCAGAGCCATGGCAGCCCTTTCCGCCCCAATGGAAGTGAAACTGTTTCAGTCTATATGGGTTGTCGAGAGGGCCTCCCTGGATCACTGCAGGAGGACAGGAGTCAACGTGATGTCAACTCTTCAGATACTCCTCTTTGTCAAGGCTTAGAGAGTCGAGACAGCCGTTTTTTTTTCATGGTTTCTCCTCCCCACCCAAAGATTTAGACACAAAAAACAAAATGCAGATGTGAAGTCAAACACTACTGCACAGGGTTAAATGTTCCATTTCTGTCAACAGGCCAACATGGCCATTAATAAATTTCGTGTATATAGCCGTCGCTTTCTGTAGGTATAAAAAGCAGGACTGAAGAGGATTTGACATTTAATAATCTTCAGCAAAAATTTGGCAGTGCTGAAATGCTTTCTCTTTTTATTCTTCTTTCAAATTTACAGCGTCCCCCTGCCCCCCAAAGAAATCATATGATGGTTCAGAGCGGAAGTACCAAAAAAAAAAAAAAATGCAAATTTTTAGCACAATTATTTATGTTTTAATCTGTTTTAGCTGAGCTATGTTTTAAAATCATTGTTTTATTATAATTGCAGCACTCTGGGCCCAATGTCGATGGTCTGTGGCTTTCAACAATAATATACAACATGCTGAAATAGTATGTTGACAACAAATTCATCCACACCCGACAAAGAAAGTCAGCCCGTTTAAGGGATTTGTGACACTTCTTCATGTTGCTGCTGAAAAAAAGCTTCTGTTGTTTTCTCTGCGGACACCACCCATGACATACGGTCCCATACAGTATGTCTACAGTTATCAATGGCAATGATCGGGTGGTATACATGGTCGCATCCACTAACAGCAATATGACCATCACTGAGACCAGCTCAGTTTATGATATTTCTTTTCCTCGAAACAGATACTGTTCACTTCATCACTGACTGTACTGACTGTACCTTCAACCGCAAACCGTATAGCTATGCAATCGCAATTTATGGTCGGTTGCAATATTTTCTTTAATTTCTGACGATAAACAATACTGTCACCCAGCAAAATGATTAGACTCCACAAATTTCTTGAATACTCCTGTCAAGGTTAGATGACTCACTTTGATGAGTCAAAGGACTCAGGCAAAGTGAAGCGCAGATTGGAAAAGACGTAATTTTTGAGTTGGCCATTTGTACAATAAAGGCTGTGAAGAAATCAAATCAAAACAAGACTGTACCGTGTGAACATGTAAAAAATTAACCGAGTAAATAAATCAGCATGTCTGTTTTCTTACCCGAACGGTCATCGGAGTCATCAAAGTCGACCACAACAGAATGCCCGTTGTTGGAGATGTTAATGGAGGAGCAGTGATCATAGTTGAGGAGGATGGCTTGCAGGCTGGGATCATATGAAGCCTGCTTCGGTATGATTTCGATGGGAGACTGCCTGTTTCCCTGGGCAACGGGGAAATCTTTGTGCCATACCGATGGACCTATTTTGAAACAAAGTTCAAGCGAGCAAATAAAGCAATACAGTGTAGAAAATACAAGAAAATAAAATAAATGAAACCATTTACTCTCAATATGCAAGAGATTCAGAAAAAAATAGGACACAGTTCATCCCTTGGTGGTTGGCTAATCTCTTATTGAACCTGACCTGAACCGATCAGGCTCAGCAGCATGACGTGCACCAGTCAAATTCCATCACATGAATGAACATCAATGAACTCGAGCAGCTATACAGGAAGAAAGCAGAGAAGAGATACTCCGGCGTTTTACCGTTTTCTTTACCGTATCCCCAGCTATTGATCGGCATCTTGTGCTTTCAGGATGTGAGATTTGAATCTTGGGATCGGGTCCACACAACCTGGAGTAGGATGAGTCGCAGTAGCTTATGATAAAGACTTGTAACAGGCAGGAGGGGGTTGGGGGGGGTCATTTTTTTTCTCCTGTAGACGCCCCCTACACGCCCACTAAATTAACACCATCCACACGCGTGCGTCTGTCGATGCTTCCACAACCACCGACGTAGAAAGCTTTTATGACGTTATCATCTATGTAACGAGTATTTTAATAAATGAACGTCGATTATTATTATTACTATTATTGTTATTGTTGTTGTTGTATTCTATGCTCTGTGGAGTCGTACCAATTTCGGAATCCATTACGATCAACAATTAAAAAAAAGCATTCTAAGATATACAGTATGAAAGTAAATGCATACATTTGGTGCAAAAGTAACTTGTACTTTTACGCAGGAAATGTCATAAATTCCTAGTTGAAGAAAACATCTTTTATTTTGCACCATATTTAACTTCATGCATACATGAATCGAATTTTCAATTTGAAGTGTGACAGATTTCCATCCCCCACATTTTGTAAGACGAACAACCATTCGCGCTCACAATCACACTTAGGGACTATTTCGAGTGTTCCATTAGGAGTCGTACCAATTTCGGAATCCATTACGATCAACAATTAAAAAAAAGCATTCTAAGATATACAGTATGAAAGTAAATGCATACATTTGGTGCAAAAGTAACTTGTACTTTTACGCAGGAAATGTCATAAATTCCTAGTTGAAGAAAACATCTTTTATTTTGCACCATATTTAACTTCATGCATACATGAATCGAATTTTCAATTTGAAGTGTGACAGATTTCCATCCCCCACATTTTGTAAGACGAACAACCATTCGCGCTCACAATCACACTTAGGGACTATTTCGAGTGTTCCATTAACCTGCCATGCATGTTTTTGGGAGGAAACCGGAGTACTCAGAGAAAACCCACGCAGGGCACGGGGAGAACTTGCAAACTTTACGCAGGGAGGCTGGAGCCGGAAACGAACGCTGCACCTCCGAACTGCGAGGCGGACTTGCTGGCCACCATGCCCCCGCCGTGTTTCAGTTTCGGTGTTTAGAAATAGAATTGCTGCAGTGCGACTGAGTATTTCCATCAATACGTCCTACCTTATGTTATTAAATTATAATCAATATTTTAGTATATTTTATCAATTCTTATTTTTAATATGGTTAACGTTTCGTTTGAATGTACTGAAAATGCGAATATGAATCGTATTGTGTGTCTGTGTGTGTGTGTGTGTGTGTGTGTGTGTGTGTGTGTGTGTGTGTGTGTGCGTGTGTGTGTGCGCGTGTGTCGAATCTGACGTTGAGAAAGTAGATTTGCATTTACCTAGCAGTGACAGATGCAATGGCAGCCACTAAAGCAACCAAAGAACAGAAATACGACAGGCAACTTAGGTAATTCATCTTTGAATGTGGTCCTGTGTGTCGTAATATTATTTTGAAGTTATCTCAATTTCCTAAAAAAGCAACCGCGAAACAAGAGACCGCGCGGAAATGAAGGCGCTAGCATTCGGCGCTTTGCTACGTGCAGCTTCGGCTAACAAAACATTCGATTGGTTGAGTTGATGTTGTTTCGTGTTAGCCGGATACATTTATGTGTATTTAACGTGTGCTTACTACAACCGTCTCCATTCTCCTACTAGCTTAGATGTCAGCTTTTGGACCAGGATTGTATGTCAGAATCAGAATCATCTTTCTTGGCCAAGTATGTTACAATATTAACTGTATTGTCATAACAATACACAAGAAATGTTTCTCTGGTAGTTGCAATCACTGTCGTGCACGGGCGTCAAACAGTGGTCCACGTGTGGTCTAGTACTATAGCAACAGAAGATGCCCTGACAAAACATATTTTTAGGATAATACAGTGATTGGCGTCCGCGAGCAGTGTGCGCAGTCTTCAAGAGAGGACATGATGGTTCTTCTTCCTCGCAATACCAAACCAAATTGTGATGGATGAATACATGCTGTGTGCTGACAGATTGTGGGGGGACCATGGCCAAGAAGCTCTTGAGAATGCCCATATTTGCCTGATCAATGCTACAGCAACTGGGACTGAAATACTGAAAAACCTTGTGCTTCCTGGTAAAATGTTTTTATATTAAAGATTCGGCTCAGTAAGAAATTTGGTTGTTTTCAAATGAAGAGAGTAACGTGCATGTCTTTATCAGGTATTGGAGCGTTCACGATAGTTGATGGTCACACAGTTTCTGGGGAAGATGTAGGACACAAGTAAGACACATTTTAGTTTTTATAATTGTATAAATGTGTGCTACTTTCTGTTTGTCACTATTTTATTTTGTTTTGCAGCTTTTTCCTGAGCCACAACAGCATTGGAAAGGTACATTCTTATGTGTCTTAAGTGTACACACAAATTACTCTATGTTAAATCATTTGATTTACGTCCTTCTATATTTTTTTATGCTGTCAATATGTCAGTGGGTAAAGACGCGAGTGTTTGTGTTGCAGAACAGAGCACAGGCTGCCACAGAGCTTCTCCAAGAACTCAACACTGATGTATCGGGCAACTTTGTTGAGGAGGTTGGAGTTCTTTGTTTTTGTTTGTTTTGAGTGTGATTCATGTGTGCAGATATGAACACGGACAGCAGGTCATAGCACAAAGCTGAGTAGTATGAGGAAAGATTTGAGAAAATGTAAACTTAAAAATAATAATAATAATAATTACTGTGTTATGTTGTTGTTTTTTTTTAATTCAATAACAGCCATGCTTTCTCTTTTGTTGTCCTTCATATTCAGAATCCCGATATGCTCTTGGACAACAATCCAGAGTTCTTCCATCGATTTACCATTGTTATTGGTGTGCAGTTGCCTGAAAGGTATGAAATATCGTAACAATTTCCAGTCACTGTCACAATTACTGCACATGAAGCTAATTAACCATTTTACAAGATCCCTAAATATAATTTATGACCTTTTGTTGTTGTCCATTTAATGAATACATCTCTTTGAAAGATGTTGCAGGCCACTGCATTGCCGTAAAAAAAAAAAAATGTCATTGTGTTTGATTATTATTGTTATTTTTTTACCTGTGGAACAAGTTATATCCTTTTTGACTAAATAAACATTTGTTCACCTTTTTTTCATCTTCTGAAAATTAATAGCACCAGTCTGAGGCTTGGCTCTGTCCTGTGGAGTGCCTCAGTACCGTTCCTGCTTTGTAAAACGTACGGCCTCATTGGCTACATGAGGCTTGCTGTGCAAGAACACACAGGTTGGTAGCTGTTGAGGCACATGCATGAGCACATGGACCTTTCGCCTTTCAACCCAAGCGTGATATTGCAGTTTAGGGACATGAATTGAGTACATAATGACATAAGATAAGTGATGTCTTGCACTGTAAGCATAGTTCTTTTGAACTGTGGCCTCTGCTTTAGATTTTGTCCTTTTTTCACACTCGGCTTCCCCCCACAGTGATTGAATCACACCCCGACAATGCTTTGGAGGACCTGAGGATAGACCAGCCCTTTGCTGAATTCAAGAAGCACATTCAGGCCTATGACCTTGAACGGATGGACAAAAAGGTGCGTATTTTGTAGGATGGTGCACTTTATTATTTTTTCTCTTTTGCTCAATTAATAGTCTTGTTTGCATTTGCTCCGTAGGATCACAGTCACACACCTTGGATAGTCGTCATTGCTAAATGTCTTGAAAAATGGCTCCGTGAGGTACAGTACAGTTCTTGAACAACACAGGTCTTTGTATTTGTTAATGATGTGTAAAAATTGCACGTCGTTGTACTTTTTAGCAAGACTCGCAGCCACCCAGAAATTACAAGGAGAAAGAAGCCTTCAGACAGATTATTCGGGAAGGTATTTGTGCAGAGTCTTTCACTTGGTTGAATCCCCCAGCGGCGCATCCTTGAAAGAGGTGCTCATAACTTCACTTGTTGTCGTTGCGTGTTTTAATTCAGGGATCCTGAAGAACGAGAATGGTGTCCTGGAGTATGAAGAAAACTTTGAGGAAGCCATTAAGAATGTCAATACTGCTTTAAATCCAACCAAGGTATCACATACTATCCTGTACACTACGCTCATTCAATAAATTAATCATCATTAGCGCACTTTTCTGTCGGAACAGTAAGATACAAAACTAAATAGGCAGATACCGCTTGTTTTTTCAGATCCCAAGTGTGATCAAAGACCTCTTCAATGATGATCAATGTAACAACATAACGTCACAGGTTTTTTTTTCCCTCTTGCTCTTCATTAAATTGTTCAAATATTTACGTGCAAACATTTCAGGTAGAATTCAATCAACTGCTATTTGTTGACAGACTCCGCCCTTTTGGCTGATGCTGCGAGCTGTAAAGGAGTTTGTACACAATGAAGGCTGCGGCAGCCTACCTCTGCGGGGGACCATCCCAGATATGATCGCCGACTCGCAGAAGTTTATCAGCCTTCAGAATGTGTAAGGAAATGTGAGGAAAAGAAAATTACAGTCATGGTAAAGCCATGCAATCGTCCCAACGCTTTCACAAAATCATACTTTAGAAATAGCACATTTTATTTTGCTCTCTGCTATTGTGTGAATGCAAAAATGGCAGCCATATCCTGGCAATTTAGCTCCCCCTGGTGTATTGCAACAACATAATGAGGCTCTCTCCAGTGACATTCACAGTAAAGAGTTTCAAAAAAAAAAAAGGACCCAAAAAGGAACTCTCAAGATCTTAAGATAGATTTGCATTATTTTTCATGGAAAAAAGCATACTATGCAATAGGAGAAAAAATCTTACAACCACCCCCCCAACCCAAAATGGAATTAGCATCTTCAGAAAAAATGGTGCCGCTGATCCTAAAATCATAGCATTAAGCTTTTTTTTGTATGTATATGTGCTACATTTGAAGTTGAATGTTTCCTCACAGTTACAGGGAAAAAGCTCTGCAGGATGCGGCATCTGTTGGCAGATACGTTGAAAGTCTGGTACAGTCTGTTGGAATGGTACGCTTTCATCAAAACACCACGACACTTACAAAAAAAAAAAAAAAATCATAGGCACAATTCTCAGTAGACCATAAAAACCGTAAAGAAACAAAACAACATTGCTGA